CACTCCAAAGAGAAAGAAAAACTTGAAATCGCATCATATGACCCCTTTAAATGTTCACTCTACTCTTTTCCATGCAAGTTTTTTTTTTTTACTTAAATTCTGGTCTATTCCTGACAAAAATTGTATTGGTTTGGAAGAATATACAGTGGTGGCCAAAATTATTAGAATACTAGTATTTTCAGCAGCTAAAAAATGGTTTTAAGTCCGTTATTTCTATCTTTTGCTGTAGTGTGTCAGTAGGCGTGACAGAGCGCTGTAGCTGTAGGATTTTGCTAGATATATGCACTACATTACATTTTTGCTTAACCTTTTGTCTTCGTTATTTAATATATGTTTGATAAATCTGTCATGAAAACAAGTTTTAACAGCCACTATTTAAATATTTATATTTAATCTACAAATAAAAAATTTACATAAAAAAATTGTCCGTATGTGCAATTTAAATGTTTGTACAACTTGTTAATTATTAAATAAATATTTAATTGAATATTAAATCAAATGTATTTTCGTTTTCAGCTAAATGAAAAATTATATTTCGATTTTGGTTAAAAAAAATATTTTTGGTGCAATAATATTAATACATTTTAAAATATGTTTAAGTCTTTTTAGATTTTTGGGGCAAATGCATCCTAAATTTTCTGTTTCTGGCCCAGAATTTTTATTTTGATGAATCACTAGTCTAGGTTAGGGCTGTCAAAATGACTGAAAAACTACATTCGAATTTTCTGTTTAAATATTATCAAAATGCGAATTATATTCGAACTTAAAAGTCATAATTTCAGTTAGGGGGAAAGAAGCTTTTGGCTTCTCTCCTGAGGCCACAAGAGGGCGCATCGAGCAAAATATTATGCACGTTTCTTCAAAGCGTAATAAAATAACACGACTATCTTTGAACAAAAAGTGCATAATGTTTAAAATAATGTTTATAAATCATATATATAATTAATAAAGTTGCTTAAACAATTAGAAAAAAACAGGACCATGCATGTATGTATAGTTTAATACAAAGGACCGAAAAGCAATCACAAAGAGTAGGCTACTTTCTTCATTTAAAAACATGAGATACAGTGGGATGGGGAAAAACCGCCTTAACGTCTTTAGACATGTTTTTTAAAAGTTGAACTTACATTAATTTGACATGGCTTTCTAAACATGCCGCTCTCTTGTGCGAGACCCGAGTGCAACGCTGATAGATGTCCCTCTAGGAAATGTGATAAATATGCGTTTTGTGTGAAAGGCTTGGTTTCAGTTTTGACGTAAACAACATCTTCTCCACACTGATGCTCTCGTTTTCTGCAATATATGAATGAACAACGTAGCAGCACCGCATCTAGTGGGTTCAACTGGATAGGCTAACAAAAGCATTCAAATGCAATCAATGACACATACATCGTCATCGCATCTTGTGCGCCACTGATAAGGCTACCTGACGGCTGACGCAGACCGTAAATTCGAATGTAACGTTTTTGCATTCAAATGTGGATTTTTTTATTTTTATTTGACGAATATTCGAAATTCGAATTTTTTTTTGACAGCCCTAGTCTAGGTCAGTCAGTCTCATCTGCTTTTGCTTCAGGATATAAAGATGCAACCCGACACAGAACCATTCATTCACTCATTCAAAATTGTTGCAAAAGTAAACAAAAATGCCCTTAAAATCAAAATGTGATTAAAATATAATTTTGTAAAATCGTACACAATAACCAACATGTGATTTACCAGATAAACACATGAAGCAATCACTGTGCCAAATATGCTATTAGATTTCTGTCTAATACATTGCCTTGCTGTCTGCAACCCGTTCAGCACAGACCTGCGACTCATTTTTGGGTTGGTTTTATGAAAGGAAGTGGCTTATATTCAAAGAGTTTGCCAGTGATCTAAAATAATTTATATAAGTAGACTACCCTATCAGAAAAGAGAAATACTAGGTAATCTTTTGTGAAGTATCAGAACCTGTTGACTATATTTCTGACTGTATTTTGTTCTTTCTTTTATTTTTTTGCCCGGCAGCAACAGACGATGTAGTGAAAGTTGAAGTCTGGGATGTGGTAGATAAAGGTGAGTCTTTAGGAAGCACTCTGGTATTAGTGACAAGGGGCTTTCCCTAGTGCTAGTTATTACAAGTTAGCCGGTGCAGCAGTTTGATGTGTGAACCCCAAACTAAATATTTATTTGCCGAGAAATGAACCTAATGTAATGGTAATTTCAGTATGTTTGCAGCTATCTGTAAAGGAAAAAGATGTAATGTATTTTACTTCTTTTCTTATGGTCTGCAAATACTCAAAGGGCAAAAGCTTCCTCTTCCAGAAGGTGTAGGTGAGAACTAGTAATGTATTAGTCAAACATTAAACAGTGTATGTGTGTTGTGATCTTCACCTCTCTTCTTTTACTATGAAACCGTGCTCAGAATAGACCTTCAGTAGCTTGTGCTATTATTAGAACCTAGTGTGGACTTGCATTAAAATCAGATGACCACATTTTTCCCACAGTACATTTATTTTAATAGGGGGAATGTGATATGTTTTGTTTATAATGGATCACATTTTGTATTCATTTTTGAAATTGTTGCCAGAATCATCTTCTATAATGTAAACATTATTTCAAACAGCCCCCTTTTAAAAGTTCATAAATGATGCATGAATTGAAAATTCAGTTGTGGTTTAAATTATGCTCAACAACAACAATACTCTCTTAAGCATACCTGCGTCTTCTATTTACACTCTTTGTAAATTGGTAGTTGTTACCTGCAAACATTTACCATGGTAGCCATAGTTCTCATCAAAATACCATATTTAAGGTGTTGTTAAAAATTTATCTTTAGCCACCACTGACAACAAAAAATGTAATTGTGAGAAAGATTGGACATATTACACTGAAGGAGAACCCGTATGAGTTTATGATAAAACAACATCTATAGTAACTATAGGAGTAAACCGTGGTTACCATGAAAATATTTGCACAGGGAGCTGCTGCTGTTGATTCAGGTTTGCTCTAATTACTTTCTATCTGCTTTTGTCTTTTTTCATTTATACACATGTAAATATTGAAATAAGATACTGAATACTATTTTAAGGGAAAATGCATCCGCGTATAGGTGGAAGGACACTCCATATTTCTCGAAGTTAGCAATGTGTACTCTAAATGTAATTTATATTATAATACTATTAGTACTAATAAGAGCAATATTTTACTTGTGGATTGCTGTGACTGTCAAGTTGTTTAGAACAGTCAGGGTTCCAGCAGTCTTGTAAAATTGTGTAAAGATTCAGGGCAACCCACCGGCTTCACAGCAAAATGATAGTTTGACTGCTTTGGTGGTACTGGATGGGTAAGCATATGAATATTACTCTTCTCGTATCTCAGACTCGCAGTTGCCTAATTGTGTAATATCCATGTTTCTCCAACTACTGCAGGGAAAGGGAAAAGACGCGGAGAGAATCTGAAATTGGAAAATGAACCTCAGGAGGTATTTGTTAAACAAGAAATATTTGTAGGTAGTTACACTACTGTTGAAGAGATTGTAAATTATTGTATGTCTCTTATGCTGAACAAGGCTGTATTTATTTGGTCGAAAATGTAGTAAAAACAGTGAAATATTATTACAATTTAAAAGAACTCTTTTCTATTTGAATATATTTTAAAATGTGATTTATTCCTGTGATGAAAGCTGGATTTTCAGCATCATTACTCCACTCTAGTGTCACATGATCCTTCAGAAATCATTCTAATATGCTATGTTGAAAACAGTTGCTGCTTCATATTTTTTTAGAAACAGTGCTACATTTATTTGAGCAATCTATGATGAATAGAAATTTCAAAAGAACAGCATTTATTTGAAATCTCTTTGTAACATTATAAATGTTTTTTACTGTCACTTTTGAACAATTTAATTATTACTTGTTGAATAAAAGTATTAATTTCTTTAAAAAAGAGAGGGAAAAAAACAACTTACCGACCACAAACTTATGAATGGAAGTGCAATCTTCTGGATTAATACGTCAAAGTTTGGTTTTGACTGAAAATACATTTGATTTGTTAGTTATCATTTGACATCTCAAATTTCTCATTGTGTAGTCTGTAAGCTGATTTTAATGATCATTCAGCTAGAAACAAGATGTCATTTTTAGTAATCTTAGAGTTGTTTTGCTCTCTGTGCAGTCGGAAACCGAGATGGCTCTCGACGCAGAGTTCCTGGATGTTTATAAGAACTGTAACGGTGTGATCCTGATGTTCGACATCACCAAACAGTGGTAAGGAATCTGCCTTTCCTTCTGATTTTCCCCACGTTCACTCTCTCCAAACCCCTCATTCATTCTCCGTCTCCCACTCCTGTTCTTCCATCACTCATTCCCCCCCCCCCCCCCCCCCCCCCCCCCTCCCCCCCCCCCCCCCGTCGTCCCTCTTTTTGGTCTGTGGTCAGGATCAGGTGCCAGAACTGGGTGTTGGGTTGCATTGAGCATCTCATTCTCAGTAGAGTCGAGGAACAAAGAAAGCAATGAAACCAATACCTGCAGCCAGGTGTCTCTTAAAGGTTCTGACTCTGTTTATCTCTCTGCTCATTGGATCTGCCTTGCATTCTGCCAGTGGGTCTTTACTTTTTGACCCAAGCACACCATCGCAGGTGCCACTTGTTTGCAAACCTGGGCTCTGCTTTATTGATAGGGCTGTGTTTTTGCCTTAACAACTGCTTTTGTGCTCCTGGGAGCCTTGTAGTCATCTGTGTGAACATTTTAGATGTTTATATATCTAGAATACATATATAAACATCATATAGAATATCTAATCTATATTAGATTTTTATTCTGTTAATATATAATTGTTTAATATATAAAAAAAGAAACCATTTCATAATACCAGCAGTGCAAGGGCTAAAGGCTCTGAAGAATTTCTGAGCCATATAAGAGCAAAAATAGTCACCAGCATAGAGCATAATTTCTTCACTTTTGTAATGGCACGACAGACAGCACTATTTTCACCATGTTTACTCTGCATCTCCTGTGCTGTAGAAATTGCCACTTGGCCACAGTTGTGTACAGTATGTGCGGTTCCAACAGATTTATGAGGTGAAGTCTTCCCTCACGACTAAAGAGACACAACTTTGTCTCTTAGTAAAATGCCAGCCAATGCTGAATGTTGGTTTTATTTTGCCTGCTCAACAAGGTGCTCTCATAAGATATCATTTCCACTTATGAACAACAGTCGAATTATGTTTAAATTAACCTACTTAATGGCTTTTTCAAAGATGCTTTAGAAAACTGATTTGGGCCGACTAGCAAAACAAACTTGTAGCTAATCAGCAGTAAGGGGTGTGTCTACTCATTGAGGAGGAGAGAGTGTTCAGTGCACATGATAGACATTAGCTCAGTGATCCATGTACGAAAAATGGGGTTCAGCTCAGTAAATTAATGTTGGCTGTGATCTTGGTCTACCCTTTGCATTCTTGATTTTACTGGTCGGAATCGTTTACCAGATAAAGATAGAATTACTTTGATTATTTTTCTGCTTGGTTTTTATGCTGCTGTCAGGCCAGTGTAGACGAACAAACAAGACAATACATTTACTGCTTTGCTTTTTAATGCTGCTTGCTGGCATTTCTGCTATGTGTCTTGCCAACGTATATGTGGGTGGTCTGAAGTCTAGGAGTGCTGGCAAATAATGCAAATAAGATGATTTGATGAATCGGTAAAAAAATGTCCCAAACGGCACTAAATGTTAAAACTCACATTGTTAGATATAGTTTTTGATTTATAAATGTGTATCTAAGAGGTATGTCTATAATGTATAAAATTGTGCACTACACAAGGAAATCACATCAAAGTATGTTTCATATGAATCTTGTTTTTGCTGTAGGACATTCAACTACATCCTTAGAGAGTTGCCAAAAGTGCCGACACACATCCCAGTGTGTGTCCTGGGTAACCAGCGGGACATGGGCGAGCACAGGGTCATCTTACCCGACGACATCAGAGACTTCATCAACGGTTTCATATGAATCGCAGACTCTTGTTTTTGCTGTAGGACGTTCAACTACATCCTTAGAGAGTTGCCAAAAGTGCCGACACACATCCCAGTGTGTGTCCTGGGTAACCAGCGGGACATGGGCGAGCACAGGGTCATCTTACCCGACGACATCAGAGACTTCATCAACAGTCTGAACAGGTGGGCAGTTCAAGATTAACACTCAAAACAAGGGGCTTACGGACCATCTTAGTCCAACTCCATGCTTGAAGTTGGGCCCTGTAAAATATTGTACATTTTTTTACTAAATTTCGTTTTATTTTTTCTACAAATTCCAATTTTCTGGATTCAGTTTGAAAGGTTATATTAAATGCTAGTAATCAAAAAGCATGTCTAATTAATTGAAATCCTGAAATGTGTACAATTTAGCAACATTTTATTAAAAGTTTCACAAAAATGAAATTTTATGCCCGTATGGAATCCATTTTAGTTTTCTTGTTTTTGCAAATTCTGTTGTATTTTCCCCAAATTCTCGAGCACAGGGTCATCTTACCCGACGACATCAGAGACTTCATCAACAGTCTGAACAGGTGGGCAGTTCAAGATTAACACTCAAAACAAGGGGCTTACGGACCATCTTAGTCCAACTCCATGCTTGAAGTTGGGCCCTGTAAAATATTGTACATTTTTTTACTAAATTTCGTTTTATTTTTTCTACAAATTCCAATTTTCTGGATTCAGTTTGAAAGGTTATATTAAATGCTAGTAATCAAAAAGCATGTCTAATTAATTGAAATCCTGAAAAATTTCGTTTTATTTTTTCTACAAATTCCATTTTTCCAATTTTCTGGATTCAGTTTGAAAGGTTATATTAAATGCTAGTAATCAAAAAGCATGTCTAATTAATTGAAATCCTGAAATGTGTACAATTTAGCAACATTTTATTAAAAGTTTCACAAAAATGAAATTTTATGCCCGTATGGAATCCATTTTAGTTTTCTTGTTTTTGCAAATTCTGTTGTATTTTCCCCAAATTCTGTGTTTCCCATTTGAGTTTTGTTTTTTATTATAATTATTTTTCTGTTTGAATGGTTTAATTAAATTTTATCATACATTTTAAAATTTTAGAATTAAAAAAAATACTCTTAATACTTTAATTTATTAATTTATTAAAATGTTTACAATTAGTTTACAATAGGGCCCTATGAATGCTTTTCCCCAAGAAAGTCTATGTTGTCTGTTTTAATTATTCTGGATTTAATACAAATGTATTGTCGTCATCAGCGGTAATCAAATAAAGGTATAAAACATTAAACATTTAATTGATCTTATATTATGACATCAAATTTAAATTTAACAGTTCCTTTTATTCTTTGGTAAAGCAAATGCTGCACAAAAAAAGGTTTACTGTTAAAATTAAAACAAATAAATATTTTATATTTTTTATTCATATTTTTGTTACTTTGAGAAGACCTTTTTACTGGACAGTAGTAATATATTTCTGTCACAGTTTCTTCAAGTTAAACTTTTATTTTGATGGGTTGTCGTGAAGACCTTTGAATTTCAGAAAGGTAGTCTCACCTCATACTCATGCCATTGGTTGAGCCAAAAGTTTATATGTCAGATGGCTAAACAAAGTATAATTTTTTCTGCGTTAACATTTTCCAGTAAGCCAGTCTACAAATGGGAAAGCATTTTAACAAATTAAAATTGCACAGTTACCTTAAAAGTTTCTCCTCCTTGATTATCTGACACTGAAAAATGACCCATGTGAAACAATTTAGCAATTTATGCTAATAAATCACGCAATGGGAATAACAAGCATTTTATGAAATACTGGGAAGATCTGTCTTTCATGAATAACTTACACAAAGTCAACTTTTCCCCAACAGCCAACTTTTCCCTAATCCCATAATCCTTTTTCATTTTAGACCGCCGGGCTCCTCCTACATCCACTATGCCGAGTCCTCCATGAAAAACGGATTTGGTCTCAAATACCTCCATCGCTTCTTCAACATCCCATTCCTGCAGCTGCAGGTCAGAGGAAACTCTCAAAGTCAGAGATGAATGTTTGCTCTCGGGTCAGTGTTTATCTAGTTTTAGCATCATTTCAAGTGGAATCTTCACATATCTTACATGGGGATTTAATTTCATTGATACTTTTGGTTTTTGGATCATGGCAGGGGCTCTTTATGCTCCTCCTGGAGATCTGTCTTCTTGCTCTAACACACCTACTGTAGTTGTCAGGGCTGCGTTCTAATTCACATACTATTTTCTTTTTCTTTTCTTTTTTTCAAAGTAGTATGCAGGAATAGAATGAGTGTCACCCAAGTATTCTAAAGATACCTGGACATTGCACTATTGTGTAAACATATAGATGTAGCCATGTACGGTTTGGGGCTAAAAGCCGAGTTTTTTTATTGTATGTTAGTTGTTTTATAATTTATTTATTAAATTTTTTCCCACTAGTGCTGAAATGCTTCTGTCTTTGTTAGGAAGTAAAAACAAGAGAAATATGAAATTTCCCAATGCATGCATTTTTTTTATTAATTTTTTTTATTCTGAGCAAAATCTCTTGAATTCACATGATGTCATAATTACGATTTCTGAACTCACAGTATTTCCCGTGGTCATTGAAAACCTAGAAATATCAGACAGTTTTAAATTGCGATTTCCTGACCTGGAAAAGTCACAGAAATAAATGAAATCTTTAAAGTCTATAATGTAAAATTCCATCAAAAATAAAAAATTATTATTTTTTTAAATGCATTGTTCTAAAATATTCCTGTAGCTAAAAATTGATATCAATGAGTAAAATCTCTACACATTTTTTTATGTTTTAATCAATTTAAAGGATTTTAATTAAACCAGGGTTATATTAGTATTAGTTGTACAATATTATAGTATTTATTCATATTTAGAATTAGCTTTTATATTCATATTTTCAGTTTTCATTTTAATCGAATAATTTTAAAGTAACGTTTTAGTAACTTTGTCATTTTTATTAGTTTAGTTTTTATATTGTACATTTTTTTACTAAATTTCGTTTTATTTTTTCTACAAATTCCAATTTTCTGGATTCAGTTTGAAAGGTTATATTAAATGCTAGTAATCAAAAAGCATGTCTAATTAATTGAAATCCTGAAATGTGTACAATTTAGCAACATTTTATTAAAAGTTTCACAAAAATGAAATTTTATGCCCGTATGGAATCCATTTTAGTTTTCTTGTTTTTGCAAATTCTGTTGTATTTTCCCCAAATTCTGTGTTTCCCATTTGAGTTTTGTTTTTTATTATAATTATTTTTCTGTTTGAATGGTTTAATTAAATTTTATCATACATTTTAAAATTTTAGAATTAAAAAAAATACTCTTAATACTTTAATTTATTAATTTATTAAAATGTTTACAATTAGTTTACAATAGGGCCCTATGAATGCTTTTCCCCAAGAAAGTCTATGTTGTCTGTTTTAATTATTCTGGATTTAATACAAATGTATTGTCGTCATCAGCGGTAATCAAATAAAGGTATAAAACATTAAACATTTAATTGATCTTATATTATGACATCAAATTTAAATTTAACAGTTCCTTTTATTCTTTGGTAAAGCAAATGCTGCACAAAAAAAGGTTTACTGTTAAAATTAAAACAAATAAATATTTTATATTTTTTATTCATATTTTTGTTACTTTGAGAAGACCTTTTTACTGGACAGTAGTAATATATTTCTGTCACAGTTTCTTCAAGTTAAACTTTTATTTTGATGGGTTGTCGTGAAGACCTTTGAATTTCAGAAAGGTAGTCTCACCTCATACTCATGCCATTGGTTGAGCCAAAAGTTTATATGTCAGATGGCTAAACAAAGTATAATTTTTTCTGCGTTAACATTTTCCAGTAAGCCAGTCTACAAATGGGAAAGCATTTTAACAAATTAAAATTGCACAGTTACCTTAAAAGTTTCTCCTCCTTGATTATCTGACACTGAAAAATGACCCATGTGAAACAATTTAGCAATTTATGCTAATAAATCACGCAATGGGAATAACAAGCATTTTATGAAATACTGGGAAGATCTGTCTTTCATGAATAACTTACACAAAGTCAACTTTTCCCCAACAGCCAACTTTTCCCTAATCCCATAATCCTTTTTCATTTTAGACCGCCGGGCTCCTCCTACATCCACTATGCCGAGTCCTCCATGAAAAACGGATTTGGTCTCAAATACCTCCATCGCTTCTTCAACATCCCATTCCTGCAGCTGCAGGTCAGAGGAAACTCTCAAAGTCAGAGATGAACACTTGCTCTCGGGTCAATGTTTGTCTAGTTTTAGCATCATTTCAAGTGGAATCCTCACATACCTTACACAAGGATTTTGATTTCATTCAGACTTCTAGTTTTTGGATCATGGCAGGGGCTCTTTATGCTTCTCCTGGAGATCTGCTGCCGTGCACCAACACACCTGCTGTAGATTTCAGGGCTGCGTTCTAATTCACATACTGCAATTATTATTTTTTTTCTCAAAGCAGTATGCAGAAATAGAATGAGTGTCACTCAAATTATAGAGCATTGAAAATAGCATTCTAAGGATGCCTGGACATTGTATATAGAGATGTATCCATGAGTTTTTTTTTTATTTGTTTTCTGTGGTTATTTTTTATTTATTTATTTTTTTGCACTAGTGCTGAAATGGTTCTGTCTGTGTCAGGAACTGAAAATGAGAGAAATATGAAATTTCCTGATGCATTATTATTATTATAATTTAGTTAATTCTGATCAAAAATCCCTTGAATTCACATCATAACTACGATTTCTGAAATCACATTAGCTCCCATGGTCATTGAAAATCTAGAAATATCAGACTGCTGTATTTTTAATTGTGATTTCCTGACCTGGAAAAGTCACAGGAATGAATGAAATCTTTAAAGTCTGTAATGAAAAATTCCATCAAAAAATTCAGTTTTAATTTTTTATGTGCATTGCTCTAAAATATCCCATTAGCTAGAAATTGATATCAATTTAAATTTAAAACGTTAAATCTCTACACTTTTTTTAATCAATTTAAAGGATTTTAATTAAACCAGTGATATTTTTGTATTATTTTAATATTTTATAGTATTTATTAATATTTTGAATTAGCTTTTATATTCATATTTTCAGTTTTCATTATAATTAAATAATTTTATCGTAACATTTTAGTATTTTTGTCATGCACTTTTGACGTTTTTATTAGTATTAGGTTTTTTATATTATATTTTTTGTATAGCTTTTATTTTTACATTTTAATTTTAGTCTTAGTACGTCAACTTATTTTATTTCATTTAGTTGCCAATGTTGTTCATCTAATATTTATATTTTATTGTGTTTCAGCTTTATTTCAGTTACTGAAAGGGATTTTTAATCATTTTAGTTTTCGTTAACAATAACAGCACCCTTATTAATCACAAAAGTTATGGAAATTAATTGGTCAAATGTTGCAGGAAGCCTCTTCTCGAGAGCACTCAGTAGCCAGCTGTGGACCACCAGGAGCAGATTTGAGCACCCCTGCTTTAGCAGTAAAGTTAAAGTCCTTTGCTTTGTTTGTATTCTCGTTATGCATCTCTAGAGACTGACTGAATGGCATTAATTAATAAGGTAGGTTGAAATTAGCCCGGGGATCAATGGCGACTACTGTGTCTTATGTGTCAGTGTCTCGGGCTCTTCCTGAGGTTACTCCATAGTCAGTAGGTTGGAGGACTGGTTTCAGTTTAATGTATTTTATTGATCCTATTAGAGAAATTAACTTCTCTAGTCTAGTTCAATTAACCAGTTGTACAAGATCATAAATACAGATGCAACCTCTATAGCTCATAAAAGTATCAGATACCATATCAGGATGGTGCCACGGGGTTCTGTTTTGGATATTTTGTTTATGTTTATGACTCTTTTGTCTGCAGGATACTGTTGTTTAGATCTTCTTCTGTTATACAGGAGTGTTTAATATTTGTCAATAGTGTTGTCGGTAGAACAGCTTGACTAAGTCCCGCTGCTCAGAACCAGTCCGTCGACCACAGCATGTCAATCTCATGAAAATTTCAGTGCTGTGCCGAGATCTGTTTTCCTCTCATTGCTATCTTTTTCATTCAAAGTTTAAAGGCCACTTCTAACTTCCATGACTTTGAACAAACTTCTTACCCCAAGTATCAATTCTGTCCAGTTAAGAACAGTTATTGGCAGGGGTGCACAAGTTTTTCAATCTAGTTTTCAAGAGAGCACCTGGAGATTTGTTTTGGTGCTCACCCTGCACATAGTGTGACCCATTAAATATAACTATAATAAATAAAAAATAGTATTATTGCACTTTTAGTTTTTTAAAATATAATAATAATAAACTTTGATAATACTATTATATTTAAAAATAAAAGCGAGTATATGAGTATTAAATAAAAACAAAATTTTTACAGTACGTTTAAATATACAATGCTAATATTTTAATTTTCAGTTTTTCCCTTAACTTTTTTTTTAATGATTATTTAACATTTTCAAACCTAAAATCAGCAAGCTTTTATTTTGGCGGGTTGTCATCGAGTAAGTATATGCAGTGCCTGCTTTGGCGCTGCCGAGTAAAGTGCATAAGCGAATGAAATGTCACAGGTTTGCGTTTTGCTTTGTATACCAGCAGTGCATAACCTAGATTTATGCATTCGGTTCGAATGGAAATCATGTACATTATTACAGTAAGTTGATCTAATACGGTGATTGTGCATTAACAGCTGTCGCAAATGAGCGGTGTGAACTTATTTACCCAGCGTATTTTTTATTTTGGTCATGCATACGCACCTGTGCAACACTTATGTGCACCCATGGTTATTGGTTAGTCTGTGTATTTCAGAAAAAGTTGAGCTGACAGCTTGAAGGTTTGCATATTTCTCTACCCATTAATTTCCAGTCCTCCTCCTAATTTAGAAATAATAAAGCAGGAAAGTGCTTACTTGAGTAAAAATGAGGTCAGTGTTGATGTCCTGTGAGTTTACAGTGTTTGAGATGTGATGTTTGTGTTTGCAGAGGGAGACTCTGTTACGGCAACTGGAGACAAATCAGCTTGACATCGATGCCACACTAGAAGAGCTCAGTGTTCAGCAGGAGACCGAGGACCAGAACTATGACATGTTAGTGTGAACCTCATCACATACCGGTGTATTAAATATATATATATATATATATACTTTTTTATTTTACAGATTAATTATAATTTACAACAGTAATATATTTAGTCTTTTTTCATTCATAAAATTACATTATTATTATTATTAATTATTTTATAAAATAAAACAATAATTATTAATATTGTCTTTGTTATTGCTCTTGTTGTCACTACTTTTAATAATATATATTATTCTATTTTATAATAGGATTAAGAACAACAATAATAATAGCATTCTATAATACAGTAGAATAATAATTAATATTATTAATAACACAATTTTATATAATGTGTGTGTGTATATATATATATATATATACATGTATGTGTGTGTGTGTGTGTGTGTGTGTGTGTGTGTATTAATATATGTATATATGTTAGTGTGAACCTCATCACATACCGGTGTATTAAATATATATATATATATATATATACTTTTTTATTTTACAGATTAATTATAATTTACAACAGTAATATATTTAGTCTTTTTTCATTAATAAAATTACATTATTATTATTATTAATTATTTTATAAAATAAAACAATAATTATTAATATTGTCTTTGTTATTGCTCTTGTTGTCACTACTTTTAATAATATATATTATTCTATTGTATAATAGGATTAAGAACAACAATAATAATAGCATTCTATAATACAGTAGAATAATAATTAATATTATTAATAACACAATTTTATATAATGTGTGTGTGTATATATATATATATATATATATACACATGTATGTGTGTGTGTGTGTGTGTGTATTAATATATGTATATATGTATATATATATACACACACACACACACACACACACTCTATTAATCTATTAAACAATTATTATTATATTATTGTATTTATTGTGTTGTTATTATTAATAGTAATAATTAATTATACATACATTTGACGTATAAGGGATTTGGCTAAAAAAGATTTTGGAAAAAGAGCCACCCATTAAGCCAAGAATGTCATCCAACCATAATTTCCCAAATTTCACTGCTGTTTTTCCAGATTTCTTGAGATGATGGATGCACGCAAAGCTTATGGCTCTCCAGCGCCCTCTAATGGCCAGAGCCCATCCTCAGGTATATATACACACACACACACACACACACTCTATTAATAACAATGACACAATTATTATTATATTATTGTATTTATTGTGTTGTTATTATTAATAGTAATAATTAATTATACATACATTTGACGTATAAGGGATTTGGCTAAAAAAGATTTTGGAAAAAGAGCCACCCATTAAGCCAAGAATGTCATCCAACCATAATTTCCCAAATTTCACTGCTGTTTTTCCAGATTTCTTGAGATGATGGATGCACGCAAAGCTTATGGCTCTCCAGCGCCCTCTAATGGCCAGAGCCCATCCTCAGGCTCCCAGTCCCCTGTGGTGCTGCCCGGTGCCGCCTCTCCCAGTAACTCCAGCCCCAGTACCCCACAGGCCCCTGTCCCGCTCCAGACCCAGTCCGCCCCTCCACCACCGCCATCTATACCACACCCTCCTGCCCAGACCACAGCCGCCCATGTACCCCAATCACCATCACAAACACCTCCTCCTGCCCAGAAACGAGGCTTCATGTCACGCCTGTTCGGATCGTCCGCTGCAGAGGCGTCACCAGACAAACCAGGTCAGTACAGAACAGTGCTACTATGGTAGCGTTGATATAATAGTTTTTTTTAATAAAGGGTTTCTGCAGGTCTTAATTCGCCCCTCTACAAATCAAGATCTGAAATTGGAGCGGAAAATCTTAAATTCATAAAGTCATGGCATTAAATGTTGCATCTCAGTTTTTCGGTTTTGTTTTCCAGTACAAATACCTAAACATCCTTAAATCATTATACATTTACTTGAGATGCAAATTGAAGATATAACATCTTGCTCTCTGTGAAATTGAACAGAATTAAGTAGTTTGTGCTTGAAACCTAATTGTTTGTTTTAATCATAAACTTATTCCTCAGAAAACAAGATTTATCTCCTGTCATTTTGTTTCTCAAGTAAATGTATTTTGATTTAAGAATCTTCAGACTTTTTTGTAAAATGAATTATAAACTTTTGGAGGTTGTGTTTTCAGACTTTGAAGTGTTGCCAATTCAATTCATTTTTTTCCTACATTAAAATTTTTTTGGCGGCCACCAAAGTTAATTTTTGTCCAGCCAAAACTTTTTTTGATCAGTTAATGTGATTTATGCACGTGTGAAAGCGCGCATGTTAACTGAGGGAGCGAAAGAGCAGAGAGCGTCCACGTCCGCTAATGTCCGATTCTAACGACTCCTTTGAACCGATTCATTTTAGTGAATGGTTAAAACAACTGATCTGTTCAACACTGAACTCATGATACATCACTGTCTGAATCAGTGTATAAATCATTTACTCAGAACACCTCAGATATTAGATCGTAAGTGTTACTCCATTTAGCAAGAGTGGTTAGTAAGATTTAGCCTTAATAATCAACGTATTTTCATGGTCTTTATATAACAGTGTGTAGTAAATTACCTACAAAATAATTTAGACTGGAGTGAGGTGAAACTAGAACAAAGCACAAAGCAAGTTGTTAACTAGCTGCTATTTTTATTCAATTGTATATTGTAAAAAATTATTTGAAATACATTTTTTAGTTACATATTTAATGCCACTTTTCTAGCGATACTTTGGTAATGGTGATGTTTACATGTAAAATAGTTGTAAGCACTTTTTTTTATTATCTGTCCTGACAGTGATGGTTTTTTGATTTCATGAATAAAAAGGATGAGCAGAAATCACAAACATAAATGTTTCTTTACATTTATTTTAAATGAATTGTAAGTATTGGACTCGCAGATCACATGGGTAAGGGTACTTTTTACTGTGTGTGTGGATGACCCACCACCGACCATTTTTGACCCAGGAAAAAATACCTGAATACCAATGAGACATTATCAGGCAACACTGGAGCCACCGCTGCACAGTCATTACAGAGACCGGTGGACTGACAAACACACGCACAGCTCTGCACCAGTGCATCTGCTGGTGCATTGCAGATCCTGGGGGATGGGGCCAATCAGAAGGACGCTAATGCACTTCCTGTCAACACATAGAAACAGAAAGTGTGTCAAATGGCTATCATCATGTTGTATTACATTTTATATTCAAAACATATGCAAATATTTTGATTTCTTAATTTAGTTTGGATTCATAAAATTTCCCTTTTTTTCCCAATTTGCCATATGTCTAAACTGGCATTAAAGATGCCACAATAACATAAATTCTCATTAATCATTCATTCAGCATCACAGATGGTCCAAGTTTTAGATATATTCATATATTAATTTCCATACTATGTTTCAACTGGGCTGTATTTCCCAAAATCATCGAAAGCCTAAGTACATCGTAGACCCATTGCCACCAATGGAGCTACGATCAGTTTTGGCATATGATGCTTTTGGGAAATGCAGCCCTGGACATTTAACTTTTTTTGTGAGTTTGTAGTATTGTTAAAAAATAATTACTTGTACTGAATGTTGAATTGCTTATTTTATTTTGTTTCATCAAAATAATCAGGCTGATTTTTATTACTGTATTACATTAATGAAATAAGATTTTTACTGAGAATTTGTTGAGGAAATGAGCCTGATTGTCTTAAAATGAATGTGACACAATGCCGGAATATCTGAATGGTTTTTTTAATTTATTTTTTTTTTTATGCTTTAGGTGTATTGTCAGATTTAGCAAATCATGTTCTGTTTACATTAACCTTTTTTTAGAATAATTAATAATAAATGTATAATATAATTTTAAAACTGGAAAATTCTGTAATTCCGTAATGGTCAAGTATGTTGAATCTTTGCAATTGTGTAATCTCATTCTTGCATTTTATATTAATGCAATTTTAAAAATGTATTCTGTTTCATAAAATATTTTTCTTTTGATGCTTGAGGTGTAATGACAGACTAACCTAATAACGTTACATTTATATTAACCATTTTTTTTAAAATAATGAATAATAAAAGTTTAATAGAATTTAATAATATGAAAAACTATAATGGTCAAATGTTTTAGTTGTAAATATGGTATAAATATCTGATCTTTGCAGGTGCATGAAAATTTGTGCATCTTGCCATTACTTAACGCAATTAATATGATTTCAGTAAACATGCATTTTGTTAAAATGTGTAAATGTACAAATGTTGACCTGTTGCCATGAAGCTAGAAAAGCATTTTAAACCCTTTTCTGGTCTTTTACCTTCATCAGAACCTATGGGCTCTGAAGACCCGAAGCCCTCTGGAAAGGTGAAGAGTGTGGATGACTTTGTGCCGGGGGTGGGCATGGAACGGACCTTTCTGGAAGATGGTGGAACAGCAGTTAAATCAAAGAACAAACCTCCAGCATCAGCTCCCATCCTGGACAGTGATAGGTGAGCTGTTATAACATGCAATTTGTTTCTACACATTTGTTTTTTACACTAAGTCTGATGCATTGATCACAGCAAAAGAGGCATTTATTGAGAAAGTAAATGAGTTTAAATTTGATCTCGTGTTAAGCTTCTGAGAGCTCTCCTGTCTTTTCCTCAGTGATGGTGAGGGACGGGGAAATCCTCTGGTCTCCGGCTTCCAGGATGATTTAGATCCGGATGACAGAGCGCTGTCTCAGCCTGCCGTTAAAGCGGCGGTCCCGAGCATGGGCGTCACACTCACGAGTGATGAAGAACAGGAAGATTCATCTCTGCCCTCTGCTGCCCAGCACAAAGGCATTGGCTCGGGCCCAAACTCAAAGGGGTAAGAAACCACCTGCCGATGTATCAAATGCATCATTCTTTTAATAGAAAGACTTCAGTGAGATGCAGACGTGTTGAGACCTGACCACATTTTCCTGAAGATTTGTTGTACGTTTTTAATTAATTTCCCTCACTGTTGATGAGCTTCCGAAATAGAAATAATTCCATCAGCAGAGAGACTTGTCTAATTTACTTTAATTAAATCACTCTTAATAAAGGCATAGACAATTTTCATTTCTTGATATTATTTTTCAATGAATGCTACCTTGGCACAAGTGATTTCCATAGATAGATAGAGAGATGGATAGATAGATGACAGAGAGCTAGATTGATAGATATAATGTAAGAGCTATAGATAGATAGATGGATGTAGAGATGGATAGAAAGATGACAGAGAGCTAGATAGATAGATAGATAGATGGATGATTGGGGGATAGACGGATATATGACTGGACGGATAGATAGACAGATGGATAGATCTCAGATTTAATGAATAATTATTTGGAGTCAAGATTGTTTCCACATATTTTCTGTGGAATCTGACATTCAATTCTAGATGTACAGTGAATTCTGTCAAACAGCTGCAAACCAAGTCTAAACTAGCTGAGAGACCCCAAAGCCTGAAAACCCCAGCAGGACCTGCAGTGCAGCGACTGAAGACAGGAGGCGCTGTTGAGGCCGACTCCGATTCAGACCAAGAGGCTCCAGTCGCTCAGCAGATGCTTTCATTTGTCATGGATGACCCTGATTTTAAGAACAAAGAGTTTGACGGACACAAGATCAAGAAGGTAGAAGACCATTTCTAGGTTCTTGATTATTGTTGCTTATGACTAAATAATCAACTGATGAAATCGTAATTTTTTATTTATTTTTTTCTTTGAGAAATGAGAAATGTTTAGTTGGCAAATAGCTGAAATTAAGTTTTTCTGTTATTTTTTTTAATTTGTGTTTTTCTGTTGTTTTACTTCACGTAATGGAAATGTTTTATGCTTTTTGTTCTCAAATAAATATAAACCATCTAATACATGCACTCTATAAGAAAAGCCCACAAAAGACCATTTAGATATTAAATAAGTACTTTGCCACTGCCACCAAATAATTCCCTGCTCAGTCTCATATTTTATGCTTCATCTGTTTTGCGTAGGGCACTTTTTCTGCACGAGATGACTTATCTGACCGGTCGGATGATGGGTTTGTGTTAGCTGGATTCCCAGAGCCCCCCAAACCTGCTGCCCCTTCATTTAAGACCCTCAACAGTGACATTGACCTGTTCGGCCTGGAATTTGAAGAGACAATGCCTAAGAGTAAAGACAGCAGTGAAGACCAGGAAGGTATGTTCAGTAAATAACTTGTGTGTGTGTGTAGTACAAGATAAGTCAAGATTACATTATTTAATCAGTCACTGAAATATGTCCTACTTTTTTACGGTTAATTTAAGTGTCAATTTAATTAACACTCAAGATGAAAAAAAGATTCCTTTTAGTGGATTATTGAAAGCATATTTTTAAGATAGGATAGGTGAGACTAACACGGTGCACTGCAAATTCATTGCTTCAATATTTGTGTTTGAATAAATCCGTCAAGTTTTTAATGTTTGTATTTCAAAAAACGAATTGAAGTACAAATATAATTATGTAAATGTTAATATTATAACTTTATTATTATAAAAATGAATTGAGTGTATTTTAGGTGTTTGTATACAATATTATAATGTAATACCAGCTGACTCATGTATATTTTACAGCATTAGTTTAGAGAATTTTTTTTTTCCTTGAGAAAATTTGCCATGTACTGTACCTGATATATTTCCAAAATAATCGATATTGAATCAAATTGGAATCAAATAGAATCGCAAGCTACTGAGTCAAAATCTAATCATATCGTGAAATTGTACTTGTGTAAAAAAGAAACGGCAAGTAGCACATTAAAAAAACATGAAATTTTGAAGTAGAAAGACTGAAATAATATTTTCTTGTAAAATGTACTTCAATAATCCAATAACAGCATAACTTCCAAGTGTGTATTATCTTGCAGATAATGAAAGCAGACACTCCACAAAGGACAAGAAAAAGAAGAAAAAGAAAAGCAAAGAGGTAAGATATTAAAAACCTGACCATATTACTGATTGATTGTGACTGATATATCAGCCAAGGCAAATAACTGACTATTTTTGAGTTTTGCAGCAGCGGACATGTGCATCACTTCCCAAATCTACCAGCAAGCTTGTCAAATAACAGCGTCCAGCTTATTTTTTAATATTTTTGGCACATTTTGTCAAATCTTGTTTACTTGTATAGTGCTTTATACCATACAACTTGTTTCAAAGCAATTTAAAATAATAATTGAACCGAACTAATGTCAAATACAGCTAAATCTATACAATTAAAGAAAGTATTAATTTAATACTTTCTTTAATTGTATAGATTAAAGAAAGTATTAATTTAATGGCGCCAATTTTGTTTGCATCTTATTTGTTATCATTAAATGGTATTATATATAACTGCATTACACAGCCTTCTCAATATTGGCATCAGCGATCAAAAAGCATATACTGGTTGATAATTTACTCTTATTAAACCGTTTTCGTGCCATCAGATTTTGATGCTTGTGCACAAACTGTCTTTATATGTAGTGAAATAAAAAGGGAAAAATCTTGTTTTTGTTCTAGGAGGATGAGAAAAGCAGCAAGAAACGACACAAACACAAGAAAAAGGAAAAAGATGAGGCGGGAACAGGAGACGAGAAAGAAAAGAAGAAGAAGAAATCTTCAAGAACCAAGAAAGCAGGAACCGTGGATGATCTTGAGGCCTTCCTGGCAGGTGGAGACGGACCAGGAAACAGTGAGGGCGGAGACTATGAAGAACTCTAACCAATCAGGGTTTGACATCCACACCGTGTGACATCGCCAGGTCATTTTCCAATCCATTCCACCTGTTTTTCAGTGCCTAACCTTTTGAGTTTTCACAGCGTTTTTGTTCTTCCAGCATTGCAGCTTTATAAATTGGTACGTGGCACTGTTGTTCACCTCATGCCGTTTTCCAGTATTTTCAGACATAACATTTAGATGCATTTTCAAATGATCGAGAGTTTATTCCATTATTAACTGATTAGAACTCTGTCCACAAAGACTTGAAGTAATTTTAGCTTTGTTGGTTTTGTTTTGTGTGTGTCTTTGTCAATGTGTGTGTGTATATATATATATATATATATGTATGTGTGTGTGTCCCTGAACATTTTGGCAACTCTGTGTGTGTGCGCTTGCATTTTTATTTAGCAAGCATATAGAGGGATTAATCAGACTTGCATTCAAATCTACGTAACATATTTGCCCGCAATACATGAGCAGAGCTATTTTCTGTCAAACATTCAAAGAACTATTCACATTTAATTAAATATTTCCACTTGCGTTTGTAAACCGTTCTTGTATAAATTGTCTATTGCAATTCTGTCCAAAAATTAATACAAGAACGGGTTTCATGAACAGTTTGCACAGAAGTTCATTCCTCATGTGCTTCATGAATGAGACCTGACATGTTGTGACGTTCATTGTCTTCCAGACGCAACATCATATATCAAACCTTAGGAAAAATAATCAGTCGTAACTAGATTTAATACCATAAGCCTCTTTCGCCATCCATTTCTTTCCAGTAATGACTTAAATTGTTTTACACTTAACAAAATGAAAGCTTTTATAGAGCAATCCTATAAAGTTAATTAATGACTGAGGCTCTGACAGACTGCTAACATTGACAGAATTACTTTGAGCTAGAGAGACACACACACTCTTGCAGCAATCACAATCACGTTTGCAATTAGGTATATAATTATAATTATGACAAAGTTAGTGAGATTGTCTTTTTGGCAATTATTTATGCAGTTATTAAACCAGTATTATTATTTATGATCTTAAAATGTGTTAAATGTTATAATTTCATAATGATAGTTTCTGGTTCCGGTCAAACTTCTTCCTCTCATGGTCTGTTTGTGATGTCCTGTCTGGTAAATGTATTCATTTCCTTTGCTGTATATTTTTATTGTTGTTATGGCTTGTGTACATGTTAGTAGTTGTGTTTAGATCTCGTGTTTTAGATAGTTGGATCCGTACACTCCAGATAATTTCAGAGTTGGACAACCCAGGGACATTGTCTCTGATCCTGTGATGTTGAGGCACCTTGAACGTCCTTTATGAATGGCCAACATATTCAGAGCCTAACCGTACATAAAAATGAGTAAATATCATAAATTTTAGCAAAAGCCTAAATTGCTAAATGCAACTAAACAGAGCTGCTCTAAAAATCTTTTCCCTCATAGTTACACTTGTTTTGGTGACCTGAAGGAAAGAAAGTTGAGTTTTAGTAAAAGATCTCCAAAAAAAGGGCCAATTATGTAAATGTATAAAATATGTGTAAAATCATATTTTGAATGCACACATTTATACTTTGTAATAACATAAAATTTAATACTATTTTGGCTTTCAATGATGCATTAATATTTTGATGAATGAAAGTTATATAGACAAATGATTGTTTACTCGTCATTCATAACGGACGTCATTCATGAATCTGGATCAGAATTGTTTTCTTTAATGGTTGCATCAAATTGAAAGTGAAATGACCGTTTACTGTATGCAAACGATTCAGGCTACGTTTACACGACAACGATGTAGTCAAAAACGGAAACGTTTTACTAAATGCAACTAAACAGAGCTGCTCTAAAAATCTTTTCCCCTCATAGTTACACTTGTTTTGGTGACCTGAAGGAAAGAAAGTTGAGTTTTAGTAAAAGATCTCCAAAAAAGGGCCAATTATGTAAATGTATAAAATCTTAAGCATAAGATAGTGAAAGTAAAAACATATTTTGAATGCACACATTTATACTTTGTAATAACATAAAATTTAATACTATTTTGGCTTTCAATGATGCATTAATATTTTGATGAATGAAAGTTATATAGACAAATGATTGTTTACTCGTCATTCATAACGGACGTCATTCATGAATCTGGATCAGAATTGTTTTCTTTAATGGTTGCATCAAATTGAAAGTGAAATGACCGTTTACTGTATGCAAACGATTCAGGCTACGTTTACACGACAACGATGTAGTCAAAAACGGAAACGTTTTCCCTTGCGTTTTTAAAAAGTTTTGCGAATACACGACAACGTTTTTAAAACGATTTGCTTTTACACATATCTGCGAAAATGGCCAAAAACGCTGTATTACGTATGCCTGGCCAGTAGTTGGCGCTGTCACCTTGTTAGTAAACCATACCTGTAGGGAAGGGACGATTATATGTTGTATATGATGCGTCTCTGCTGTTGGTTGTAATCTTGGTGAAGTAAATCCACACTTTACTGAAGAAGCGTTAGCAAACTCTTGAGCAGCAACAACAGTACCATGTACTCCGCCATTGTTGTGTATGTTTTTCACACTTGCCTTTAAAATCGACAGGTACTGCGCATGTCTACATACCTAACACGTACTACACACGCGCATGACGTCACCGTTTTCAAAGATTCCCGTTTGGGTGTTTACACGGAACCGATAACGTGGCGTTTTCAAAAATATGCATTTTCAGTCCCCAAAACGCCGTTGTCGTGTAAACGAACAGGCAAAACGCATAAAAAGTTTTTGGCTGAAAACATTGTCGTGTAAACGGCCCCTCATTATCATCGTGTTTCATGAATGAATCCTAGTGTTTACTTCATAATGCCCCCATATGCTTTTGTTTTCATCAAGTAATGATAAATGATTACCAAATAATTCAGAGTTCTTCAACTGTTGCATCGAATTGAATGTGTAATTAATATTTACATACAGTTTTACTACTTTTTTTTGTATTTCATGAACGAATCCTAGTGTTTACTTGCAATGCCCTTTTATGCTTTTTCATTAGCATGTATCACATATTGATAAATGATTAGTAAATAATTTCAGGTGTTCGTAATTTCATCGAATTGAATGTGAAATGAGCATTTACGCAAGAACGGATTTACCAATAATTCACTTCACTTGTGCGTCATGAATGAATCCCATTGTTTACTTGCAATGCCCCCACCCCCCTTTTTTTTTTTTGCTTATGTTATCATCATAGATTGATAAATAACCAAATCATTTCAGGCTGGAATATGTTATTCTAATGAACTATCATGTCATGGAATCTGATTGGCTCCAGCTTAAGTGGAAGAATGACATCATCCGTAGTGTTGTTGCACTTCAGACCCTCATCATTTCAAATGGATTTTCTATTTTTCAATTTTTATTACTGGGACAAAATGACAATGTACTTTCTGCCTAACATAACAAGGACTTGTTTTTGGTTTGATGGTACAATAAACATTCACCTTGGCATCCACCTTTGAACTTTTGTTTGTTTCGGTCCAAGATATCCATCCGTCCGTTTGTAGACCGTCCCGCTACGGCTTTCCCCTCAGGATACGCCGTCACCCTGTTGACAACTGAATGTTGATTCCTGCTCGTAAAGATGTTGTCCCAGAATCCTCCAAGGAATTCAAGCACATCGCTGGGGCGAATAGCGGGTAACTAACGGTACGTTTAAAGAAGTGCACATTCCCATGTGTCTCTTGCGGCAGTCATCTGCGTCTCTTAGGTGGGTGCAGATGGATCCACACACGCCGCTGAGAGCATGTGATGCATCACGCTGTCACCATGGAAGCACACGCCTGGGAAAACCGTCTCTACACGCTCACTGTGATAAATAGTCACGCTCTCCACTGTTAATACTCTCACCCCAAACCAGCAGAAGTGCGCACCTCGAACACATATCAACTTCCTCTTTACTCTGGGCCCTTGATTTATTTATTTATCTGTCCGTTTGGCATGCATATTTTTTCCCACCATACGAGAAAAGGAGACGGGAAATGAATGCATTGGTGCTGCACTAGCTCTTGCTGGCTGTTGGATTGCATGCAATTACCAACATACTTCCTGCACAGCGTTTCACAACGACTACTTTCATGGACCGGAAATGTTTGGGAACGCTATTTTTAAGCCGTATATCGGTTTTATTTTATTCATACAGCATATATGCGTTCCAAAGCCTTTGTTTGGGACCATAAATGATTGTGTTTGCCTATTTATTGTTTTTGTTACCCTGTTTCACTACCCTTAGTATTCATATTTCATTTATGTGTTTCAATTGTGTAATAAATGCAAGAGAAATTTGACCAGGTTTGCAGGAGTTGAGCTGTTTAAGTTCAATGTGATTTATTTCTCTTAATGATGAAAAATAAATAATATATATTTTAATATATAATACATATTTTATTAAATATGATATATAGTGTCATTCAGAAGTTTGGGATCAGTAAGATTTTTAATGTTTTTTAAAGAAGTTTCTTTTTATAAAAAAAATGTTTTTGTGAAATTATTGCAATTTAAAATAAGTTTTCTATTTTAATATACTTCAAAATATAATGTTTTAAAGCAAAGCTGAATTTTCAGCATCATTACCATTTACAGTTTTTTGTGTCACATGATCCTTCAGAAATCATTCTAATATGCTGATTTATAATCAGTGTTGTAAACAGTTGTGCTGCTATATATTTTTTTGGGACCGGTGATATTTTTTCAGGATTCTTTGATAAATAAAAAGTAAAAAAAAACAGTGTTTATTCAAAATAGAAATGTTGTGTTACAATATACGCTACCATTCAAAAGTTTGGGGTCAGTATATTTTTTCTTTTTAAAGAAATTAATACTTTTATTCAGCAAGGATGTGTTAAATGGATAAAAAGTGATAGTAAAGACCAATATTGTTAAAAAAAAATCTGTTTTAAATAAATGCTGTTCTTTTTGACTGTTTATTCATCAAAGAATCATAGAAAAAAGTATCACAGGTTCAAAAAAAATATTAAACAGCACGACAGTTTCAAAACTGATAATAAATCAGCATATTAGAATGATTTCTGAAGGATTATGTGACACTGAAGACTGCAGTAATGGCTGATGAAAATTCAGTGCTACATCACAGAAATAAATTCTATTTTAAAGTATATTAAAATAGGAAACAAATATTAGAAATTGCAATAATATTTAACTTTTTTTTCTGTATTTTTGATCAAATAAATACAGCATTGAAGAGCATTAGAGACTCCATTTAAAAATTTTAAAAGTCTTACTGGTCCCAAACATTTGAACAGCAGTGTCTATGTATGTAGATGGATA